CTACGATCCCGATCAGCCTTTTGGACACTGCATCTAGTCTAGATTGCAGAACTCTCGCATCTTCGCTTATGCGCGCCAGCCCTGCTGGCATTAACTGAAGCTGTCATCGCTGAATGGCTGCCTCCAGCGCAGTAGTCTCGTAGTCCATTCCTCGTCGATCCTTGCAGGTCCCGGACCCGGCGCCAGCCGGAGGCCTCTCCGCGCGAACTGCATATCTGCGTCTTTTTACGGAGGGTGCCCCCTCACTACTAACGCCCTAAGGCTGCCCGAAGGCATTTCTTCAACCTTTGCAGATATTATAGTTATAGCATGATGTACCCCAAAACCCTAGTCTAATTATTACAAGGCCCATATGTTGCAGCATGTAGCATGCTACGCAGAGAGTGAGCGGCGCTAGGACCCCCAAAAGGCCTCGGAGCTCCTTTCGAGCAGGTCGCTGGAAGACCCACGCTCCGCTGCTTCCGGCAGCTCCCCTTGTGGTGGCCAAGCAGCTTTCAGATTCCGCTGTTCAGATTCTTCGTCTCTTCATCTCCGTTAGTCTTTGTTCTCTGTGTTCCATCGGTTTTTGCCTTGAAGCCCCGAAAGCGGTCCCGAGACGTTCCTCGAACGTACGCCGACCAGCTACATGCAACTAAGTGGGAGCGCCGCCGGACGCACCGCTGCCACCCACGCAGCGACCCAATGCCACCGAGCCTCGGGCGGAGCCTCGGGGCGACTCGGAGGACCTTACTCCGAGCTGTCGCAATGTGTCGGGTTCGTCCAGCCGTCCAGCCTCGAATTTGTAGGTTTGGGGATGTAGAGTTAAGGCTAAGGCTTGGGGTCAATTTGGTCAATGCTTCAGGCTCATTGTCATAGCACGGTCAGATGCCCATCCACCTGCAAGGACGCAGAGATGCCTGTCATCCTGACGCCCCTGGCTCCACCACCCTTGCACCCTCCCAAGCGACTCGGTTGGCGATTCTTGCTGTGAAACCGGCCCCTGATCTTCTGGCCATAGCGATGCCTAGTTGCAGCTGCCATCCTCAACTCCTTGCGAGGCTTTCCGGTACGGCAGAGCCGAGTGCCAAGCTTCAATGCGAGGCCCAAGACGCGGAGAGCAGGGGACTATGGGCGCACACAGGGATTCCGAAACTTTGGAGGAAAGCGGGTGTTTTTAAACTCTGGGCCCAGGACTCCGAGCCCAGGAGGCCGCCTCCGCCCGACATGCCTCCACCGCCCTGCCCCGCAGGTGGGCTCCAGGAGACTTCGGCACTTGCATTCTGAGCTCATGACCAGAATTGGGAGGATGCGATCGTTCTCGTACTGGTGTCAAGTTTTTAAGGGCGACTGCAGGACGCTTTTGCGGCTGTGGGGCTGGGCTGCAGGGTTGTGTGCGGCAAACGCCTGGTATGTAGACCAACTTGCAAGCAATTTTGCTGGGCGAGCTTGACAAGAAGTGACTCATCGCTTCACCGAAGTCATGATTCGTTTAATCCAACAGGCAGGGATACCCGGTGAACGCTGACGCAAAGTGACGACACACGTCGTGACATGTGGCGGTCACTTCCAAAAGCCCGACTCAGCGACCCTCTGGGGCAATCAGGCTCAGGGTGGAAACTCGGCAATCCGACTGACACTGCAATAAAGATCGCACTTGCGGGGACTACATTGTAGCATGTTCTACTTAGAGTTTCTGAACCCGTTGACTATAGTCCTGAACGGAACGCTACCACAGCCACCAATCGTTGTTGTTGCCGAACCTTTGTCACAAGGGGTGTTCAGCACCTGTAGATGGAAGCATTGGTAAGCGCTGAAGCCCAGTACAGTAATGGTGTTGGACATAGAACACCTTCCCGTCGCCAGGGCAAGAGATCTTGCGCTGGCTCCAGCAGCCCCCTAAAGGGTGGCGCCGGCCGGTTCTTGGAAGTTGGTCGTCCTGGGGAACAGTTTTCCGGTACAGTGTCGCGTCCCATTTCCCAGAACTCGCGCGTACATGTTTGTCAGCAAAGGCACTCCAGAACCCGAGTCGGAGGAGTGAACGTGTGATTTTCAACTGGATAAAGCTGCGCAGTCCCCATGCAGACCTTTTATTGAACATGGCACGGAGTCGATGCAGGTCAAGAGATATGATTTCTCCGCTCCTGAGATGCTGGGTTGTTGGACTACGTCTAGGTTCATCTTAAACTCCAGTCCAGAGGTGGAAGTGATTGCGAACGGTGTACAGCAGGGTTTAGTTTCGGTTTCGTTTCAGCATGAATGCCCCCGAGGGAATAGATGCCGCTGACTGGGCAAAACTGACTGTGTGTGTGTGTGTGTCTGTGTGTTCTGTTCTGTTCTCCAGTCAGCCGCAGAAGCTTATTACTTTTCAATTGGCACAGTTTGACAGCATTGGGGTTAGAGCTTTCTAGGTAAGATTGACAAGTGCCCAAAGAAGCTGCCAGGGAGACCGCCGTGCCAGTTGTCGCGGATATGGGTTGCTTCTCCGGAGGCTAGCAGTGCTAGCGGCCAGCCGTAGTAGCTTGCCAGTTTAGGACTCTCAAGCTGTGATTTTGGGCTCGCCGAGTTACTTCCAAAATTGTCAGAAGATGTGGGAGGGCCCCATTAAAAGCCTCTGGGCGTAGCTGGAGCTGAGATCACCAAGACTCAAATGCTAAAGCCAAAAGTCCCTAAGCCCTATAATCAAACTCCTAGGCTAGCCGAAGGACTTTTTGTTGGCAGGTACTGGAGGCACCCCTGGCTGGGATGGAGGGATGATCCAAAGCTGCGATACGGAGGCAGGTCCGAGCTGCTGAAGAAATTTAAAAAGTGCGCAAACAAGGGCACAATCACTACACCAGGCTGGGATTCACTGTCGATGGGTCAGTCCAGTTCGCAATTTGTTACGTGTAGGAAACAGCGACTGCTGCTTGCAACAAGCCTCCGTCACATCGAAAGCCTAAAATAAGAAGTCCAGAAGCCACAAGCCCCACAATCACCAGGAGGCACTTGAAGATCTCTGGTCCTGCAGGGGGGTTGAACAAATCTAAGCCCCTGACTACCAGGAAGCGATCTACGATTACCAGCCGCCTTGGAAGTCAGAGTGCCTTGCCCGGAGTCGGGCTCGTAAGAGAGTCAGAGGTGAGGGTGAAAGTCCTCTCGAGTCGGATTTCGACAGGACTACGATCTTTCGAAGTTAAAACCTGTCATGCCGTTGGGTTTGGGCTCGCATGCGTGGCTTGGGGGGAAGAGCTTCGCATCCGCCTACATGCCAGAGTGAACAGCAACTTGTCTCTTGTCAAGACTCGTCAAGTTTATTGTTCGGGGGCTTGAGTAGTTAGTCGTTCTTCCTCAATGTTTCCGAACATATGTAGCATATGTACATTCTTCTTCTGATCCCTGCTTGTCACCACACACTGAGGTGCTCAGGTCGGTTCACTGCCGAAGATGACGTCGCCCAGCAGCAAGAACCACGCAGAGCTCTGGTAGCAACCGCACAGCTGAACCCTTCGAGAAAGCCCGAAACAAAGAGGACATCTTTGCAACACCGGGTGCTTTGCTTAGACTATCTGGAGGCTCGGGTTCTTCTGGACTAGGAGATGACAAGAGATTTGCTTACAGCCTAGTCGAGTCGCAGCCGAGGTCGGCAAGAGACTGGAAGCAATGGTGGAGGTCCAGCGGCATTGATGTGTATTCATGTTGGTTTCGAAGCGGTGAAAGGATGAGGACCCTGATGGGCTGGATGGTGATCATCATGACGACACTTGCTGCTGCTGCTGTTGCCGCTGCTGCTGCTGCTGCTGGTGGTGGTGCTGCTGGTGCTG